CTAAATATATACTACTATACAAGCAGCGCGCGACTACTCTAAAATATATCAAAGTTTAATTTCTATAGTATTGTCTCTTGAGAAGATATTCTGAAATAACACAGTCTCATCCCAAATCGTCATATAACTGACGTTTTGGGACGTATTTTGACCATACGTCAATATCCGCCTTTTTAGGGCCCCCTTAAACGTCGGTAGATGGCGATCCCGGGCCGTCATACAAGTGACGCTTTACCTTTAACGTCAGTTAGGTGACGGGTTAGGTTTAGGGTTAAGTTTAGGTATGGGGTAGAGTTAGGATCCCATAACCTCATCTACCGACGTTTAAGGGGGCCCTAAAAAGGCGAATATTGACGTATGGTCAAAAGACGTCCCAAAACGTCAGTTATATGACGATTTGGGATGAGACCGGGTTGTCTGAAATGTTTGCTGAAATGTGAGGGGTGTAGTCACTTTCGTGAGATACTGCGTGTGTGTGTGTGTGTGTGTGTGTGTGTGTGTGTGTGTGTGTGTCTGTGTCTGTGTGTGTGTGTGTGTGTGTGTGTGTGTGTGTGTGTGTGTGTGTGTGTGTGTGTGTGTGTGTGTGTGTGTATACAGAGCCAGATGTCATGCAGAACACATGATCCAGGACTGTTCTCACCGGGAAACACAGTTCACATGGCAGACCTGCACCTATTTACTTATTGACCGATTTTATCCAAGTGCCATAAAAACACTAAACTCACAGTTATTGATATAATATGTCAGTGTCAATATTTTTTAAGAAGACTAAGAGTTAATGGCGTTGACAAGGTTTTATCAGGCATCTATTGAGTGTAAAGTCGATGTATTGGAGCCGGGTTTGGGAACCTGTCAGGTACTCACAGCTGCAAACACTGATTAAAGGGCGGGGAAAATAATGGGCCAAGTAATGAGCTTTTTGAAGAGGCGTGAGGAAACAGTTTAAAAAATGACAGTAATTATGTAATGTGTTATGTGTGTTGAGTTGCACCTGCTATCTCGAACGCCCAAGACGAATTTCTCCCTCAGGAGACAATAAAGGCTAATCAAATCAAATCAGATATTCATACGGTTATGTCCAGTTTGTAAGTTGCGTGTCACCTTCACTCAGGGTTTAGTGTTATGCTTGTTGTGTGTTACTTTTTTCCACCAGGAGTTGCACTTAAATTTCGTTCTACAGCTGTGCAATTACAATAAAGACGTTCACTGACATATTGTTGCCCTTTTGTTGATTTAACTACTCCCATTTTTCTATAACTATTGGTGTGCCAATCAAGGACACACACACACACACACAGCGAGGGAATGCGGTTTGGTCAGATTATGTAGGGTGGTGGTGAGTCATGTCAAGAATATACCTTGATAATTCACATCACGAAAGCAATTCCAGGAATGCTTCTCTATATGAGTCAGACGAGTTTTCTAAACATTCGTACACACACTGATGTTTTTTGTTTCAGTGGTTTAGAATAACAAATTAGTAAAGACAAAGGCAAATTCTTTCCTTCATTTAGTGTTAAATTAGTGTTAGATAAAGGTTTTGCCAAATCCAAAAAACAGGTTTTTCCCATGACTTAAATCTCTGCAGAACCAATACGGCTCGAGGAATATATACGAATGTACTGCTATAGAACCAGAAACTCAGTGAAAAGCAGGACACAAGTAAACACTTGCCAGTCTCTGCCACTGAGGCATTATGGGATTGATTTCAGAAGATATTTCAGTCTGATATAGGATTAGGAATTAGACAGTGATCGTCTTACATGTTAAAAACTAGAGCCGGGATTTTACACGTTAATTAAGATTAATTAATTACAGACTCACTGGATTAGTTTCGGTGGACCGATTATCCTGTTCATGCGTTCATGACTTTTTTACAGTCTATACTTCAGACAACTGAATAACAAACCACAGTGAACATGACAGAAGAAGCTGGCGAGACCGCTTTGCTTGGTCCCGTGGATGGGAAATGTTGTTATAAAAACGAAAGGATGGAAGCAAGCTATGCAACAAGGAATTCACATATCACATCGACCCTCAACACAAAACATATACAATTGCACTGGTCTACTGGACTTGGTTGAACAAAAACAAACAATATTTTGTTGCTTAAGCTTATGTATACAGTTCAATTGTATTATTCAATGGTATACTAAAAATCCATGTGAAAAAAAATCTGCTCACTTTTCTCAGTTTAAATATTTATGCAATTAAAATGCAATTAATTTCGATTAATTAATTACAAAGCCTATAATTAATTAGATTAATTTTTTTTAATCAAGGCCCCATTAAAAACTCATTGCAGTCACTGAGCACACGAGTAAAAGTGTGTGTGATACAGAACTATATCATATTACACTTTACAAACAGGTTTAGTAATATAAGATAAGAAGATAATAATCTGTATTGTCATTGTATGCACACAGTAGTGCATGGACGAGGATTAATAATAAATAACATCTTCAGTGTTACGGTTAGGGTTATAAAAGGCTTACAGTTTTTTTTTCAACTGCTTACACACAAAATCCTCACTTGTCACACAATTTCTGAAACCTGACACCCAAAGCCCAGAACTACACACACCAGATCTGCAAAAACACTCATTCTCGGCCTTCGTTTTCAAATAAATCACTTTTTGCAATCAACACGCAAACACGCAAACACTCACACACTCACACACTCTCTCTCTCACTCTCACACACTCACACACTCTCTCTCTCTCTCTCTCTCTCTCTCTCACTCACTCACTCAGTCACTCACACACCTCACTCACTCACACACTCACTCACTCACTCACACACTCACTCACACACTCTCTCTCTCTCTCACTCACTCACTCACTCAGTCACTCACACACTCTCTCTCTCTCTCTCTCTCTCTCTCTCTCTCTCACTCACTCACTCACTCAGTCACTCACACACCTCACTCACTCTCTCTCTCTCTCTCTCACTCACTCACTCACTCAGTCACTCACACACACACTCTCTCTCTCTCTCTCTCTCTCTCTCTCTCTCTCTCTCTCACTCACACACTCACTCACACACCTCACTCACTCACACACTCAGTCACTCACACACTCACTCTCTCACTCACACTCACACACTCCCCAGATAGCAAACTGACATTGAATCAACGTGGAAATATGACATCGAAACAACGTTGATCTGACATTGTTTTGCTCATCGAATTAACGTTGAACCAACGTCAGACGCGTCATTCTTTCAAAACTAACGGAAAATCAACTTGAAATCAACGCGTTGTTTCAACGTTATGAAAGCAAACCAATTTTCGATTTCATTTAGCTTTGAAGAATGCCGCGTCTGACGTTGGTTCAACGTTAATTCGATGAGCAAATCAACGTTGTTTCAATGTCATGAGAGACGTCGTTTCCACGGTGATTCAATGTCAGTTTGCTGTCTGGGTCACTCACTCACTCACTCACTCACTCACTCTCTCACTCACACACTCACTCACACACTCAAACACTCTCTCTTTTTCACTCACTCACTCACACACTTACACACCTCACTCACTCACTCACACACACACACACTCTCTCTCTCTCTCTCTCACTCACTCACTCACTCACATGTGATGGACAGTGTGTGATTGTGTTCCAGTGTCAGTCATGTGATGTAAAGAGGTGTGAACCGCTGCCAAAGCATCATGGGAATCTTCAGTGATGTCAGCATATCTTAACGAGTGTCTTTGATTGACAGCTTCAGATAAACACCCTTCATTTTCCCTGAAAGTTGGGCAGAATATTTCACATGACTGTTCAAAGCCTGAGGCCTATTTTCTGTAAATCAACTTTCCTGTAACTGCGACATTTATTTCCCAACTGTCATCAGTCCGCTGTCATAATTCCATTATTCCTTATCAATACGCTATATTAATCAGATGTGGCTCGCCTGTAACCGCAGAGATACATTATAAATGTGTTCAGTATTTCTGCACCAAATAATTTGTACTGATTTTCTAGACAATTCTAAGTCGTAAAGTGAGCAAGATGTATTAAAGTGTTTTCACGTCAACTTACGCAACCCTCGTTCCAGAAGACTTCAGTGTGTGTGTGTGTGTGTGTGTGTGTGTGAATGATACTGAGGATGGATATAATAATGGACCAAACACAAACTAAAGTCATGATTTTTGCAGAAAAAAAAAAATTATAACCAGCTCATGAATTCAACATGAATGGGGAAGCATGAAGATGGTGACGCGTGTACAAGAACTTTTTATGAAAAACATTCCATCATCTCAGGCCTCGATATCCTCATTATATTTTACACAGCCTAATAGCCTAATCTGTTATCTCCAAAAAAACATCCTCAACATGTTACAGTTAAAACGTTATATCTTACTTTACATTTAACCTTACAGGAACATTATTTGAACTGAGAAAACATCCTTAAAAAATTATTTAAACATTAAATGAAAATGTTTTGGACAAAAAATATTGTATGAAATCTTGTTTATAAATACAAGATTATCCAGAAAAGGGAAAAGTATTCCATGTGGATACCATGTGACGGGATACGGAAACATTAATGGGAGGAATAAGAAAGACAATAGAAGGAAGAACAGGTTGTAATGGATAGACTACTGTGGTAACTGTAACTCTTGTCAGGAAAACATCCCACAGGTCAATGCGATTGAATTCAGGCACAGTTTTATCATGCAGAACATTTACACAAGAAAGGCAAGAGTTGAAACATCATTAAAAAGAAACTGGCATATAATATAATGTAAAAAGTATTTTAGAATGCAGAAATAGTGAACAAGGGAGGAAATATTTATATATAGGGTTAGGGTTCTATATATTTAGGATATAATATATATATATATATATATATATATATATATATATATATATATACACATATATACATATTGTATGGAGGACTGGAAAGACGAATATTTAAGTATGAAGTAACAAGCTAATAGACAGCAGGTGGCAGTAAAGCTACTTTTGGATGCCAACAGCATTAAAACCCAAGGAAGCAATAGTAGAAGAAGAACAGAGTGATGGATTGGGTCACGCGCTTTCTCCGCTCTTTCACTGAGAGAAACTTGTAAAGTTCTGCGTGTTCTGGATGTAAACATGTTCTGCGTGTTTTGGAGGAGAAGCGGCGCGCACAGAGGCGCGTGCACGAGACACGCCGCCGCGCGCAGAGGCGTGTGCACGAGACAGCCCGAGGTGCGCGTGAGATTCGCTCCCAGTCCCACAGGTGAAACACACCACAAATATCATATATGAACAACACAGATAGAGGAGAATAAACAAGGACAGGCTGTGAGACTGTGATAGAGTGAGATAAACCTGTTGTAGAAGTCTGTTTAACTCTTCTTTAGGGTTTCTTCACCTCGGGGGTCTCCGCACGGCTCTGTATAATTACCTGTTCGCGAAGCAGCGGCGCGGCACATTCATCCTGCGGCTCGAGGACACGGATCGCGATCGCCTGGTGCCCGGAGCTGCGGACGCCATCGAGGACATGTTGGAGTGGGCAGGTATGCTCACGATACTCCTCACTGCACTCACTATACTGCTCACTGCACTCACTATACTCCTCACTGCACTCACTATACTGCTCACTGCACTCACTATACTCCTCACTGCACTCACTGTATTCCTCACTGCACTCACTATACTGCTCATTGCACTCTCTATACTGCTCACTGCGCTCACTATACTGCTCACTGCGCTCACTATACTCCTCACTGCACTCACTATACTCCTCACTGCACTCACTATACTCCTCACTGCACTCACTATACTCCTCACTGCACTCACTATACTGCTCATTGCACTCTCTATACTGCTCACTGCGCTCACTGTACTCCTCACTGCGCTCACTATACCCCTCACTGCACTCACTATACTGCTCACTGTGCTCACTATACTGCTCACTGCACTCACTATACTGCTCACTGCGCTCACTATACTGCTCACTGCACTCACCTCACTGCGCCCACTATACTGCTCACTGCGCCCACTATACTCCTCACTGCACTCACTATACTCCTCACTGCACTCACTATACTCCTCACTGCACTCACTATACTCCTCACTGCACTCACTATACTGCTCACTGCACTCACCTCACTGCGCCCACTATACTGCTCACTGCGCTCACTATACTGCTCACTGCACTCACTATACTCCTCACTGCACTCACTATACTGCTCACTGCGCTCACTATACTCCTCACTGCGCTCACTATACTCCTCACTGCACTCACTATACTGCTCACTGCACTCACCTCACTGCGCCCACTATACTGCTCACTGCGCTCACTATACTGCTCACTGCACTCACTATACTCCTCACTGCACTCACTATACTGCTCACTGCGCTCACTATACTCCTCACTGCGCTCACTATACCCCTCACTGCACTCACTATACTGCTCACTGCACTCACCTCACTGCGCCCACTATACTGCTCACTGCGCTCACTATACTGCTCACTGCACTCACTATACTCCTCACTGCGCTCACTATACTCCTCACTGCACTCACTATGCTCTTACTCCTCACTGCACTCTTCACTGCACTCTTCACTGCACTCATTAGCATGAAAAGTTAACCCTCTCCTTGATTTCATATTGTTTACGGAGAAGGAGAACCAGAGAATGAGTTTGGGGAAATGCAACGCTACCAAACAACGCATATTTTTCAAGTGGTGCATGTCAGACGGGATGCATCATAAACCAAATATTAAATAATTATCTTAAGACTTTCTATATAATATCGGGCAATGTGATAACAATATTGAGTCGATATATCGTGCACACCTAAGTCTAAGTCGGGGGGGTATGTTTGTGTGTGTGTAGGAATCCCTCCAGATGAGAGCAGTCGCAGAGGAGGGCATTATGGGCCGTATGTTCAGTCTGAGCGGCTCCATCTCTACTCACAGGCCGCATCATCACTGCTGCACACAGGCCACGCCTACTACTGTTTCTGCACCCATCAGAGGCTGGAGCTGCTGAAGAGGGAGGCGCAGCGCAGCGGACACGCACCGCGGTAAACACACGTACCACATAATCGCACACATACCTCTGTAAACGCACATGTACTGCAGTAAACACACGTTCCTGCGGTAAACACACACGTACCTCTGTAAACACATGTTCCTGTGGTAATCACACACATACAAGAGGGAGAGAGATATCTTAAATGTGAATATTGGTGCTTTCCCACTGCATGGTACGGTCCGGTCCAGCTCGGCTTGGTACGGCTCACTTGTGACACTTTTCCATTGCATGGTACGGTACAGCTTAGCTGGCTTTAAATGGTACCACTTCTGTTGAGGTTCCAAGTGTACCGTACCGATACTAAAATGTGACGTGAACACACTGCAGATCACTGATTGGTCAGAGTCAGACAGATGTACCAGCGTCATTGTATTTGTGAGACATCAAACCCGCTAGATTTAAATAGCCAGTAACAGCCAGTGCTGTAGCAGCTGTTTTAACACTACTTGCTTGATTAGCTTGAAGAAAAAAGAAAGAAAGAAAACTTCCGAAAAGGAAATGACTGAATCGTGGTCAGTGGACAAAGTGCAGACGTTCCTCTTGTGGTTGCCGAGGAGCGGGTAAACTAGGGATGGGCAACGATTAATCGCATCCAAAATAAAAGTTTGTGTTTACATAATACATTTGTGTGTAGTGTGTATAATTAATTTGTATATATAAATACCCACACATGCATGTATATATTTAAGAAAAATGTGTTATTAATACATCAAATATTTATATTTATATATAATATTAATTGTGAATAAATATATATAAAATATATACATGCACATATTTCTTAAATATATACATGCATGTGTGGGTATATACAAGTTAATTATACACACTACACAAACATGTATTATGTAAACACAAACTTTTATTTTGGATGCGATTAATCGTTGCCCATCCCTAGGATAAACTATAACGGTCAGACTATAATCCCGCCCACTTTGAAGTGGTGCTAACTGCAGTGGAAAAGCAAACCGAGCTAAAGTGAACCGAGCCGAGTCGTGCCACGCAGTGGAAAAGCGTCAGATGTCACACCCTCTGGAGGTGTGTGAGCCAATGGGAAACTGCGCCCTTTGGAGGGAGTTTACAATTCGTTGTCTTGTCAAGCCTCGTTCATTTGCATGTTTTATGACAAGGGTGGTCACGCATCATTTCTACTCTCAAGAATGGAAAGTATAGTGTAAAACATTCTATCATAACCCATTTTTGACTGGTGAAGGCCCCGAGGATGCACAAACATGACGGAAAAACACGTTTACATTTACATATGCATGAACATTGGCATTCAGAGTTGGTCTCATGTCCTTGGTTCATCTCACCATTGTACATGTTAGGATGTATGAAGAATGTAATCCAAGTAAATCCAACAAAGGTTAATCCAAAGAACAGCGGCAGTTCGTAAAAGAGTTCAGATATAATCCACAATTGCAGAGAATAATCCGTTTCATACTTGAACCAGTTGAGATGTCCTCAAAATCAAGGAGATACAAAAAACATCTGTACAAGACTAACAATAAACCGCAAACAAGCAAGAAACATTTTCCACTATAAACCTGATAAAGTAACAAATAAATCAACTCACATTGAGATGTAGAACACAAATGTTCCTCGAAAAAAGGTTTTCCAAATGAAAGCATGGGAAGAGCAAACACTCTCAGCTAACAGGTGTCCCTTACTCACACTTCCTCTTCCTTTTACTCTCTGACCTAGAGAACTCTACCTGGTAATGGCGCCCTCTAATGGCCAGGAGTAAAATTATAACTTAAATTTACTATAGAAGATAGGCGAGTTCCCTGAAACTGATACAGACCCCCCCTTCAGGAGAAGGCCTGGCCTGGCCGTAGAACCTTTCCAGATTTTCTGCATGGTATGTCTCAACTTGCTTGGGTTCGGTCGACACCACAACTCTGTAATTTAAGCTATTCAACTGTTTCAAAACTTTGGCAGGCCAATGCCATTCAGGAGCTAGTTTGGCCATTAATGCGTCCTCTGGTGAGCACGAACCCAGACAAGTTCCCCTTCCTTGAGCCCATTGTGCGAGTTAATACCTTTAAACCGCGTGCTTTATATACATGTTGCTGGACTGCCGTCCTCCTGACAAGCCCACCAAACAAGAGAAAACGTATGTCATACCCCGTTGCACACCGGTTCACACCGCTTCCAGGAAACATGATGTTCAACCCGGAAACCGTAGCCAAACGCTGTTCACCATTTTGAACTTGAACGTGCCCCTGGTGCTTAATGATGGAGGCATGACCTAAGCCATACAGACGGTTGGCCAATTAAACAGCAACAACGCCCCTTCTCTGTCCGGGGGGCATCAGCAAGACCCACCAGATCCTTGATGGCAACTGTTGTTAACAGATGTTGGTCAGTCATAATAAGACAACATATGTAATGTTTCCTTTTGTCCAGGCAATGAAAATGTCAAAATCCAACTTGACTCTGCATGTAGGAACAAGGAAAAGCTAGGTCCTCATCTCATGATGGATAGTTGCCATTGGTTTGTGCATCCTTGCAGGGTACACTCCCAAGTAACTTTGCCTAATGCCCTCTGGGTATGGCTGTTGGCAAGGCTAAATGTCTGTCCCCAACAGGACTGCCAAGACTCGGTCTCATCCTTCAAGCTCATCCACATTAACTCCTGGATTAATGGGGCACTGCCTGTGTCCATAACGACTTCACAAAATTGATTACACAAAGTTATAGTCAAGGTCGGCAGCTTGACATTACCTCTTTTTAATAATGCCATGCTGTGACCTCAAGAGAGCGTACCTCTCCTCTACTTATACTGGCCCCAGAAATGTCAATGTTCCTTCCACTCTACCAAAGCTCCGGTGCGCACCAAAGGTTGCCCTCAGAATACTGGCAAGATGAGGATTAGAGGATTAAAGTTTCTCAAGGCTGCAGAATCCCCTTCTCCGAGTGTGTGACCTGTGTGTGTGTCTCTCAGGTATGATAACCGCTGTCGACACCTGACTCAGGATCAGGTTCAGCAGAAGCTAGCGTCTGGTGTTCCCCCTGTGGTCCGCTTCCGGCTGGCCTCCGGCGCGGACCCGTTCCAGGACCTGGTGTTCGGCTGGACCTGTCACGAGGTGGCGTCGGTGGAGGGAGACCCGGTGATCCTGAAGGCCGACGGGTTTCCCACGTACCACCTGGCCAGTGTGGTGGACGACCATCACATGCGCATCAGTCACGTGCTGCGTGGCTCCGAGTGGCTGATCTCCAGCGCTAAACACCTGCAGCTGTTCCGCGCGCTATCCTGGAGCCCGCCGGCGTACGCTCACCTGCCGCTGATGCTCAACGCCGACGGCAGCAAACTCTCCAAACGCCACGGACACACACTCATCCAGAGCCTCCGTGAGCGGGGCGTGCTGCCCGAGAGCCTGCTGGACCTCGTCACACACGCCGGCTCAGGCTTCAGCAGTGAGTGACACACACACACACACACACTCACACACTCACACACACTCACAGCCTGCTGGACCTCGTCACACACGCCGGCTCAGGCTTCAGCAGTGAGTGACACACACACACACACACACCTGTCCCACCCACTTTTTAAACCAAAGTTACAAACCGCTGCACACACACAGATCATTCGATGTTGCTGTTCCTGCAGGTAATCGGATCGGTCGACGTCTAGATGAATTAATCCAAGAGTTTAACATTTCGAAGATCACGACGCACTCGGCTCTGCTGGATCTGGACAAACTCAACGAGTTCAACAGGTTTGTTTTGTTCCCTAAATAAAGATCAACAGAATCCTAATTTTCCCTTTCTTATGCCTGTACTGTACGTGTGTAGTTCAGGAAATAGTCAGATATTACACAACTGTCAGGTCAAATCTGTGCCTCTGCTGGTATAGAAGCGAAACCTCCACAGCCGTGACGGAGTAGAGTGTGTGTAATACAGACTTAGATTTAGAGATCAGTCACTTACATTTATTCATTTAGCGGACGCTTTTTTCCAAACGAGAACGATAGCAGCAGTGAAACTAACAGCAGGACAAGACTAACGCTAACAGTGCTATGACCCCTCTGTTTAATACGACACAGTTTTTTGTTTTTTAGAATAGAGGAGAAAAGAGAAAGTGTTAGTACGACTGAATCAAGTGCTGTTGAACGAGATACGTCTTCAGCGGTTACTGACTCCAGCTCTGGTTGAGTTGGGCAGATCATTCCCCCAGCAGGAACCGTCATGGTGAAGGTCAAAGGTAGAGATTTTGTGCCTCTTTGAGATGGCACCACAAGACGACATTCGCTAGCAGAGCACAAGTTTCTGGATGGCACATTCGTCTGGAGTAGTGAGTTTAGATAATGGCTCGTTTCCACTGAGTGGTACGGTACAGTCCGGTTCAGTACTCAATTATTTGCGTTTCCACTGTCAAAAGTTGTGAATGGTGCCAGAGATTGGTGGACAGAGTATCGGCACTCGCGCGTGCTACAAGGGCATTAGAAGCATACAGTTGAAATCTAATACTACTGTTATTGTAACTTTCTAGATGTGCTGGATTTAGATTGGGTTTCTTAAGCAGTGGGGTTACTTTATTCGAATATTCCTTTACTTCCTTGTAGGCCTGAGACGAGAGTTCGAGAGATTTCCACGACGCATGCGCGAGAACGATCTGCGATCTCCTTCATCTCAGTTCTCGCGCATGCGTCGTGGAAATCTCTCGAACTCTCGTCTCAGGCCCACAAGGAAGAATAGTCGAATAAAGTCGTTATTTTTGTTTGTTTTTCCACACAAAGTATTCTCGTCGCTTGATAAACTTATAGTTGAGCCGCTGTAGGCACATGGGATATTTAAACATTTTCTTCATCGACTTTCTGGGCCGTCAAGTTTCGATCCCTCAGGAGCCTATGTAGCAGTGATCCATCTCTCAAATTTAATCAAAAATATCTTCATTTGTGTTGCGAAGACGAACGAAGGTCTTACGGGGTTGGTACAGCATGGGGAGAGTAATCAATGACTTAATCTTCATTTTTGGGTGAGCTAACCCTGTAACACCGTAACGAAGAGTCGCGCTAAAATCTAGAGGAGAAAAGAAGACACTCACAGACTGACGTCCTCTCCTGCGGGTCCACTGCTTCAGCTGATGCGGACGGGGTGTGTGTGTGTGTGTGTGACGCAGGGTTCATCTGCAGCGCCGGATCGAGGATCAGCATGAGTGTGTGGAGCTGCAGGACGAGCTGAGACAGCGACTGCTTCACACACACGGCTCTGACATCAGCGACCACACCGTTCTGGAGCCGCACTACATACAGCGAGTCCTGCAGCTGCGCAAGGTACACCTGTGTGTGTGTGTGTGTGTGTGAGTATAGTGAGGTACTCAACACCTGTGTGTGTGTGTGTGTGTGTGTGTGTGAGAGAGAGTATAGTGAGGTATTGAACACCTGTGTGTGTGTGTGTGTGTGTGTGTGTGTGTGTGTGTGTGTGTGTGTGTGTCAGGGCCACATCTGCTCTCTGCGGGAGCTGCTGGATCAGGCGCACTCGTACCTGTGGGTCCGTCCTCGAGTCTCGCTGCAGACGCTGAAGATCGAGAGCGCGGAGGCGGCCGACATCGCAGCGGCCGTCATACGGTGAGCATACGTGTTATCAGTGTGTTCACATGTCTGCGTGTGTGTGTGTGTGTTATCAGCAGGTGAATGTGTGTTTGTGCTCAGGCTGGTTGGAGCCGATGGCTTGTTCTCATCCACTGAGAGACTGAACCGTGAGCTGAAGCTGATGGCCAGCGGACTGAACACCAAATACAGCAGTGTGATGAGGGTGCTGAGACTGGCCCTGAGCGCACAGCAGGTACACACACACACACACACACACACACACACACACACACTACAGCACACTACTGAACACCAAATACAGCAGTGTGATGAGGGTGCTGAGACTGGCGCTGAGCGCACAGCAGGTACACACACACACACACACACACTACTGAACACCAAATACAGTAGTGTGATGAGGGTGCTGAGACTGGCCCTGAGCGCACAGCAGGTACACACACACACACACACACACACACTACTGAACACCAAATACAGTAGTGTGATGAGGGTGCTGAGACTGGCCCTGAGCGCACAGCAGGTACACACACACACACACACACACACACACACACACACTACTGAACACCAAATACAGCAGTGTGATGAGGGTGCTGAGACTGGCCCTGAGCGCACAGCAGGTACACACACACACACACACACGTTGATAACACTAGTGCTCCTCTCTGTCTGCAGAAGGGTCCCAGTGTGGCGGAGATGATGCTCGCTCTGGGTGAGCGGGAGGTGTGTGTTCGTCTTCAGAAGGCTCTGGAACTCTGACTGGAAGCGAGTTCGGCTGTGTGGAATAAAGCGGATGTAAATACTGACGTCTGGCTCCTGTGTGTTTGCTGTTAGATGAGGCTTGTGTCTTTCACTCAGGATGCTCTTCATCAAACACAAACAGGGTTAATATTAACTCAAACTACAAACATAAAAACATTTTCATTACTTGAAATGAAATGTAAAAACGACAACAGCTGCCAAAGGAAACACAAAACTGAAGTAAAATATAATTAATTCATAACTAATAAAATGGCAAAAACACACCAGGAAAACCCTACAGTAGTATCAGTGATCTGGAAATAACTCGACGATTGTCATCAAACATACGCTGCAGAAATGAAGGGAAGAGCTGCTCTTCTGCTTATACACACACACTGAGACGCTGCTGCTTCATGGAGTATTCTGGTGTGTGTTTAATCACTGAAACACTGCAGATGCTCACAGATTATTTCATCAAGTGTCCTTAAAATAGCAGACAAACTCATACTAACAAGTCAATTATACATCATCATTTAGTTCTTTTCTTTTCCACAAAACTTTCAAGGCCCCCAAATTATTTAGATGTATTAATAAATGAACACACAGTCTCTACTTCTAAACAAATAAAAATGTTCTAGCTTCATCAATTATTCTTTTATCAATACTTGAAGTTACTTGAACTAGAAATAGCACCCCCTACTGTATAACAGTGAAAACACAGTCAGAAAATTCCATCAATGGCTCAACACTGACACGTTTCTTCCGTTATCTCATTAAGACTGTAATAATGGCATCATTACTGCTGACACACACACACACAGACAGACACTCAGACACAGATTGCCCATCAGCCCACGATTTTATTCTGACAAACTGAGCATCAGCACTAACAGAGCAGAGCGATCTGAACTAAAAGAGGCAAAACCAGACTACACCAGTTCATTAATAGTGTTCATCTGGGGCGTCTAATACTGCAGATTTCTGCACATCCATTCATGCTAAACGTCTGTGGGAAACAGAGTAAGAAAATACGGCAGCGCTGAAAGTGAATCGCCTCACGCTACAGGCCAAACACACATAAATAAAACAACAACAGTGACAGAACAGAGGAAGAGGAGAGACCCATCAGCCTCCTCTTCATCGCAGTGGGTCAAACTGGAATCTGCTTTGGCCTTCGGTGTGTGTGTGTATGTGTGTGTGGAGCAATCACTGATCTTCCTTCTTCACTTCCTCATACTGTGGCTCGTCGGCTTCACCTTTATCTCCCTCTTCGTCCACACGTGAGTTCGGTACCCACAATCCCGAGTCGATGCAGCGTTTCATGTGTAATTTGGCCTCCTGCAGGACGGACATCATCAGACGAGTGACAAGGCACTCACACACTATTGAGCCATCCCACCGTCACACTCACAACACCGTCACACTCGTACTACAGTCACACTCACAACACCGTCACACTCACAACACCGCCACACTCGTACTACAGTCACACTCACAACACCGTCACACTCACAACACCGCCACACTCGTACTACAGTCACACTCACAACACCGTCACACTCACAACACCGCCACACTCGTACTACAGTCACACTCACAACACCGCCACACTCACAACACCGCCACACTCACAACACCGCCACACTCACAACACCGCCACACTCGTACTACAGTCACACTCACAACACCGCCACACTCGTACTACAGTCACACTCACAACACCGTCACACTCACAACACCGCCACACTCACAACACCGCCACACTCACAACACCGCCACACTCGTACTACAGTCACACTCACAACACCGCCACACTCGTACTACAGTCACACTCACAACACCGTCACACTCACAACACCGCCACACTCACAACACCGCCACACTCACAACACCGCCACACTCGTACTACAGTCACACTCACAACACCGCCACACTCGTACTACAGTCACACTCACAACACCGTCACACTCACAACACCGCCACACTCACAACACCGCCACACTCGTACTACAGTCACACTCACAACACCGCCACACTCGTACTACAGTCACACAACACCGTCACACTCACAACACCGCCACACTCACAACACCGCCACACTCACAACACCGCCACACTCGTACTACAGTCACACTCACAACACCGTCACACTCACAACACCGCCACACTCGTACTACAGTCACACTCACAACACCGCCACACTCACAACACCGCCACACTCACAACACCGCCACACTCGTACTACAGTCACACTCACAACACCGTCACACTCACAACACCGCCACACTCGTACTACAGTCACACTCACAACACCGCCACACTCACAACACCGCCACACTCGTACTACAGTCACACTCACAACACCGCCACACTCGTACTACAGTCACACTCACAACACCGCCACACTCGTACTACAGTCACACTCACAACACCGCCACACTTACAACACCTTCACACAACACCGCCACACTCACAACACCGCCACACTCAACACCGCCACACTCACAACACCGCCACACTCGTACTACAGTCACACTCACAACACCGCCACACTCACAACACCGCCACACTCACAACACCGCCACACTCACAACACCGCCACACTCACAACACCGCCACACTCGTACTACAGTCACACTCACAACACCGCCACACTCACAACACCATCAAGCTCACAACACCGCCACACTCACAACACCGCCACACTCGTACTACAGTCACACTCACAACACCGCCACACTCGTACTACAGTCACACTCACAACACCGTCACACTCACAACACCGCCACACTCACAACACCGCCACACTCACAACACCGCCACACTCGTACTACAGTCACACTCACAACACCGCCACACTCACAACACCGCCACACTCACAACACCGCCACACTCACAACACCGCCACACTCACAACACCGCCACACTCGTACTACAGTCACACTCACAACACCGTCACACTCACAACACCGCCACACTCACAACACCGCCACACTCACAACACCGCCACACTCGTACTACAGTCACACTCACAACACCGCCACACTCGTACTACAGTCACACTCACAACACCGTCACACTCACAACACCGCCACACTCACAACACCGCCACACTCACAACACCGCCACACTCGTACTACAGTCACACTCACAACACCGCCACACTCGTACTACAGTCACACTCACAACACCGTCACACTCACAACACCGCCACACTCACAACACCGCCACACTCACAACACCGCCACACTCGTACTACAGTCACACTCACAACACCGTCACACTCACAACACCGCCACACTCGTACTACAGTCACACTCACAACACCGCCACACTCACAACACCGCCACACTCACAACACCGCCACACTCGTACTACAGTCACACTCACAACACCGTCACACTCACAACACCGCCACACTCGTACTACAGTCACACTCACAACACCGCCACACTCACAACACCGCCACACTCGTACTACAGTCACACTCACAACACCGCCACACTCGTACTACAGTCACACTCACAACACCGCCACACTCGTACTACAGTCACACTCACAACACCGCCACACTTACAACACCTTCACACAACACCGCCACACTCACAACACCGCCACACTCAACACCGCCACACTCACAACACCGCCACACTCGTACTACAGTCACACTCACAACACCGCCACACTCACAACACCGCCACACTCACAACACCGCCACACTCACAACACCGCCACACTCACAACACCGCCACACTCGTACTACAGTCACACTCACAACACCGCCACACTCACAACACCATCAAGCTCACAACACCGCCACACCCACAACACCGCCACACTCACAACACCGCCACACTCGTACTACAGTCACACTCACAACACCGCCACACTCACAACACCATCAAGCTCACAACACCGCCACACTCACAACACCGTCACACTCACAACACCGTCACACTCGTACTACAGTCACACTCACAACACCATCAAGCTCACAACACCGCCACACTCACAACACCATCAAGCTCACAACACCGCCACACAACACCGTCACACTCACAACACCGCCACACTCGTACTACAGTCACACTCACAACACCGCCACACTCACAACACCGCCACACTCACAACACCATCAAGCTCACAACACCGCCACACTCACAACACCGCCACACTCGTACTACAGTCACACTCACAACACCGCCACACTCACAACACCGCCACACTCGTACTACAGTCACACTCACAACACCGCCACACTCACAACACCGCCACACTCACAACACCGCCACACTCACAACACCGCCACACTCACAACACCATCAAGCTCACAACACCGCCACACTCAACACCGCCACACTCACAACACCGCCACACTCGTACTACAGTCACACTCACAACACCGCCACACTCACAACACCGCCACACTCGTACTACAGTCACACTCACAACACCGTCACACTCACAACACCGCCACACTCACAACACCGCCACACTCACAACACCGCCACACTCAACACCGCCACACTCACAACACCGCCACACTCGTACTACAGTCACACTCACAACACCGCCACACTCACAACACCGCCACACTCACAACACCGCCACACTCACAACACCATCAAGCTCACAACACCGCCACACTCACAACACCGCCACACTCGTACTACAGTCACACTCACAACACCGCCACACTCACAACACCATCAAGCTCACAACACCGCCACACTCACAACACCGTCACACTCGTACTACAGTCACACTCACAACACCATCAAGCTCACAACATTGTCACACTCACAACACCGCCACACTCAACACCGCCACACTCACAACACCGCCACACTCGTACTACAGTCACACTCACAACACCGCCACACTCACAACACCGCCACACTCACAACACCGCCACACTCACAACACCATCAAGCTCACAACACCGCCACACTCACAACACCGCCACACTCGTACTACAGTCACACTCACAACACCGCCACACTCACAACACCGCCACACTCGTACTACAGTCACACTCACAACACCGCCACACTCACAACACCGCCACACTCACAACACCGCCACACTCGTACTACAGTCACACTCACAACACCGCCACACTCACAACACCGCCACACTCGTACTACAGTCACACTCACAACACCGCCACACTCACAACACCATCAAGCTCACAACACCGCCACACTCACAACACCGTCACACTCGTACTACAGTCACACTCACAACACCATCAAGCTCACAACATTGTCACACTCACAATAGTGTTGGGCGATATGCTCCATTTTCATATCGTCCTATCGTCAGCCTGTGAGATCGGCGATACACGATATTATCGTGAGGGGGCGGGGCTAACTTATTTGATTATTAACTTGATTATTTAGCCTACTCATTAATTTGCTTGTTTTATTAGCCTACTTCGTTTTATATACGAGAATCTTTTTTCTATTTTGCTAGCAAAGGTGGAGTGTTTATTAATAGGATCAGGTTATTTCCTGGTATAGTGAGGTAAAAAAAGAGATCCTAATCCTTTTGTTTGTCAACGGGAAATTTACGGACACATTAGCCTATCCTCATGCCGTTACATGAAGCATTTTGACTAGGGCCTATTTCTGCACGAGATGAAAACACGTTTTAATAATTTCTTGGGTCAGAAAAAGTCGGAGTTTGCGATATGTGTCCCCCTACCAGTGCGCTCTCTGCGCACTTCACATGCGCACTTCATTAAGCACGAAGTACGCGGGTTAATGTGTTTTAAATGCCGGGAGAAACAAGAGCAAGGGCCAAACGTCTAGCTGAGTCGATCGGTTTATACTTATACTTATGACTTGACTCTGATAAAGGAAACGTTTACATGACCACATGCATTGTCAAGTTTATTCAACATAATCAGGTTAAGAACGTCGTCGCATGACGCATGTAAACGCGCTCAATCTCTGAAAGTGAAAGTAAAAACGGACTGCTTTCGGCATCTGCATTAACGCCGCGTTCCCTCAGAGACGACGATGATAACGGTAACTATAATACTATTTTAGTGATATTATTATTAATACTATTTAGTAATTGTATTGTTTTTAGTGTTGGTGTCATTAAACGTTTTGTTAATGTGTTACGGAAACAAATACTGACGAACAACAATGCCGTTTTCATCTTGGATCTGTAGGAAATTGAATTTTGCGTCTGTTAAAACGAGCACTTCATAATTTGTGAATGGATCACCTTGCAATTATATTTTGATGTGGGATGTTTTTTAGTCTGTTTTAAAAACATTCTCTTAGAGGAGTCCTCATTAGTGTGTGTGTTGTTGCAATTGTTATGAGGTGATGTCGTTGTAAATTTAGGCAAGGCAAATTAATTGTAGTTCCTAATATTAATTTAATAATAATACTAGCTTTATAATAATAATAATAGGCCTAATAATAATAATTTAATACATTATGGTAAAACGAGCCAATTATCGTATTGATATCGTCAAAGGCATCTGCCATCGGCGATATGTCAGACTATCGTCGATACACGATACTATCGTCTATCGGCACAACCCTAACTCACAACACCGCCACACTCACAACACCGCCACACTCACAACACCGTCACACTCACAACACCATCACACTCACAACACCGCCACACTCACAACACCGCCACACTCACAACACCGCCACACTCACAACACCGTCACACTCACAACACCGTCACACTCACAACACCGTCACACTCACAACACCGCCACACTCACAACACCGTCACACTCACAACACCGTCACACTCACAACACCGTCACACTCACAACACCGCCACACTCACAACACCGCCACACTCACAACACCGCCACACTCACAACACCGTCACACTCACAACACCGTCACACTCACAACACCGTCACACTCACAACACCGTCACACTCACAACACCGTCACACTCACAACACCGCCACACTCACAACACCGTCACACTCACAACACCATCACACTCACAACACCGTCACACTCACAACACCGCCACACTCACAACACCGCCACACTCACAACACCGCCACACTCACAACACCGCCACACTCACAACACCGCCACACTCACAACACCGTCACACTCACAACACCGCCACACTCACAACACCGTCACACTCGTACTACAGTCACACTCACAACACCGCCAAGTACCGGTACATTTGCCAACCCTGGTCAGACTCATGCTACACTGACCGTGGGGTCCATCTTGCTGATGGCGTCCTGAAGCATTTGAATGTCTTTATCATCAAAGCATTTCTGCATTTCCTGTGGAGATGAAGACAGAAGAATCACTGCTATGACAGAAGCGTTGAGAACCTTTAAAATAGCATTAAGGTCCACTGTCAGAAGTGTAGATGTAAGACACGCTGCTCACCCTAACTCACTTTCAAACCGAGCAGACTTCTGTTTAAAAACGGAGTGAATTAACATTACGTTTTTACTGATGATCGTACAGATTCTTATTGAAAAGACCAGAAATCTCCTGTAAAATTATGCAGAACAGCCTTTAGGATGCAACCAATGACTGCTTAGATGATATTTATTCTGAAATCCCACTAAACCAGCGACATTTCACTATATATTGAGAACATATATAGCATGTGGTGCTGAACGTTCTCCTGAAGGCTGAAAGTCGGCACTACTATGGTAACGTTAGGTACATAGAGGAGAGAGAGTGGTGTGCGAGTCTCACCGCTGGCAGGGTCTCGTACACCTCCACAGGGTCCAGGCCTCCGGGACCCAGGCGCTTCTGACGCTCCTCCTCCTCGTACTCCTTCATGGCTTTTTCAATGCGGATCTTCGCCCGGCCGCGCACTCGCTCCTTAAACGACTCCAGCTCGTCGTTAAACGCGTCCTGATACTGCTGGTCTGCAGTCTGAAACACACAGAGACACCGTCACGGGGGCTCGTCGAACTAAATTTGGATTTGGAACAATTTGGACAGCGATTAGGATTCGTGTGAATGATTGTGAAAAAAAGTCTTTGAAGGAGGCTAAAGGTAGGATATTTAATTTAATATTTTGAATATTTGGAAATTGCGCTCCATTCTGTCACATGGATCGCTGGCCGACCGAGATGTTGAGCGGCGCTGCGGCGGACTGCGAGACACACTTTGTTATGAAGAATGTGTTAATAAAGACGTAATCGTTTGCTTCCTCCTTCATTGTTGCTCCCGAAGAAGGGCGTAAATGACACACACAGGCATCAGTGTGAACTATTACTGTTCGTTATTAAAAGAACAAAGCAGCCCATTAAAGAGAAGAGCAGCTGAAGTGAACGAGTACAGACGGACAAACACACCTTGATCTTGGCGAAGAACTGGCGGAAGCATCCGCGCGGATCCACCTTCAGGCTCTTGGCCAGCTCCAGGATGAACTGCATGACGATGGTCTGATGCGCCACCTGTTGCATGAGCGCGTGTTTCTGACACACACACACACGCACACACACACCTTCTGTTCATTTCCTATTATCACTGTAAAACAGCTTACAACAATCTACATTGTTAAAAGCGCTGTATAGATGAAAGTGACACACACACACACACACACACAGCGCTACCTCCTCCACCTCCAGATCGATGCACATGATGACCAGATAATTGGCCGTTTCCTCACACACCAGATGAGGATTATCAGACAGGTACTTCTGAGAGTCGTCCCAGCGGCGCAGCATCCCTGCACACACACACACACACACACACACGTCATGAGAACGGCAGTGAATGACCTGACACTGATCTACGAGCCAAACTTCTGAAACAAGATCAAATGTGGGCGGGGCTTGATTGTGTCTGTGAGGAATTGATTGGTTGGTTGTGGTTTGCTATTGGTGGATCTCATGTGAGTGACAGGTTAAAGCCCCGCCCTCGTCAGATATTGTGCTTCATCTCACCGAAGTGTTTGATCTGTTTCTCGTTCTTCTCCACGAAGGTCTTGTGTTTCTCCTCCTTCTGCTCCTCTGTCTCCTCCTGCTTGTCAGGCTTCACATTCACAACGCTCTGAAACACAAGCACAGGAGCGTCAGGGGCGTGTTCATCTGAGTGAGTGTGTGTGTGTGAGTGTGAGTGTGTGTGTGAGTGAGTGTGAGTATAGAGTATAGTGAGTGAGTGAGTATGGTGTGTAGTTAGGGCTGGACGATAAAACGATAACGATAATTATCGCGATATAATTTTGCTCGATAAAACGATATCAAGAGGTCGATAAATGTTCGATAATGTTTATGCGTCAAAAAAAGCGGAACGAAACTCATTTAAACCGCGCGCGCCACACGGAGCATTTATCCGCTCGAGTCAAAGTCCAAACGGCAGTGCATTGAGCGGAGCGCGAGCTCACGGAGACGTCAGTCAGAATATTACTTTTTACCAAATAAAAATGTGGTTGTTACATAAGAAAAAAAAAAAACAGATGTTACTGTTTTTGTTAATGAACATAAATTTAAAGAGTAGTTTAAAAACACAATTAACACTCTGGTTTATACAACTTTCACTTAGTTGCAAAAATCTGCCTTTAAACTTGAAAAAAAAAATTTTTGACATATATCGTGATAATTATCGATATCGACTGATATAAAAAAAATTATCGTGATAATTTTTTTTGGCCATATCTCCCAGCCATATGTGTAGTGTATAGTGTGTGTGTGTGTGTGTGTGTGTGTGTGTGTGTGTGTGAGTATGGTGTGTAGTAGTGTATAGCGTGTGTGTGTGTGAGTATAGAGTGTAGTGTGTAGTGTGTCGCACCTTACTGAAGCCCTCTTTGCTGAGTGTGTCCACGTTCCAGGGCATCTTCTTCTCCTCTCGGCGGTGCTCCTCCATCTTCTTCTGCCAGGACCGCTCCTCCTTCCTCAGCTGCTTCTCCTCCGCCTGGGCTTTACTCAGCTCCTCCCCCTGGTCTGTGGACCCCGCCTCCTTCAGCTCCTTCACCCTGCGCTGCGCCTCCTCCAGCTTCCTCCGGCTCTCCATCAGGCTCTTCTCCAGCTCCTCGCCCTGCTTGAGGAACGTCTCCATACGGTCCACCCGAGCCTGAGGAGCACATCAGCTCACATGAGGCCAACACACACACACACACACACACACACACACAGCTTGAGGAGCGTCTCAATACGGTCCACCCGAGCCTGAGGAGCACATCAGCTCACATGAGGCCAACACACACACACACACACACACACACAGCTTGAGGAACGTCTCCATACTGTCCACCCGAGCCTGAGGAGCACCAGACATCAGCTCACGTGTAGTAGTAGTAGTAGTAGTAGTAGTAGTAGTAGTAGTAGTAGTAGTAGTAGGCTGTGAATGTGAGGATGTTGGAGATTTATAGCCGTTTATCACAGCACTCGTTATAATTAAACGTATTAATTTGATGGCGGATCCAAAAAGGGTCAAACGGCGATGCAGACAGCAGACTGACCGCTGGACACCGCAGAAGACTTGGCTCAGACTGCTTCAGCTCATGGCTAAAGACAGAAGGGACATGTAAACGTGCGGTGTGCAGATCATCTGTGACATTGACAGACATATAACGGTGGTCTGAGAATTATACAACTGTCACAACACTTCTTTTAACATCCAGAAACTATTCAAACTTACTTTCATCCACGTTTACTGTTTTACATCAGGAAAAGCTTCTCTCCAAACATCCACAAGATCATAATAAACTATCAATGTTTTAAACACATCTGCTGACGGACTAAGAGGTTCTTCGTGATTGCTGTCCATCTAAAGAACAGTTAAAATCTCCCAAACAATAACCCTACCCCGTGGACACTGCTCAATGCTGTATGATGAAGTTTTGTGAGAGAGAGTGTGTGTGTGTGTGTGTGTGTGTGTGTGTGTGTGTGTGTGTGTGTGTGTGTACCTGGTGTCTCCAGCGGAACAGGCTCGGAGTGTCGATATTCGGATGAGTATCATCTTCATCATCAGAAACCTCGATATGATCCCACACACTGTAATCGATGGTCGTCATGATGGATAGTCAGTGATACTATCACCTTTTAATACTGTACAGTATCGCTCTGTTATTATGATTACAGTAGTTATTGTTATAGTTGTGTGTGTTGGTGAATCTCGCGCACCCGCCGCTCTTTCTGGAACTCTCCTTCACTTCCGCTTACAGTGACGTCATGAATAAGCGCCGCGCTATAGTGGCACGTCACTCTCTTGCGCCGAACTCACGCACGCCTGTACTGTAGGCTGTAGGGTGTTTCTCCAGAATAGAAGGCGTCCTAACGAGACTATGCTCTTCCCAGTCCAGTTCTCCACTCCATAGGCTTTAGGCTACTGTACTCCTCAGCATAGAAGGAGACGCTGTAGTAAGAGCGCATGGCTACGTCACACATGTTCCCGCCCCCAGCAGTGTAGTATCACGAAAATACTATTAAAACTTAATTTTTGATGTATTACCTTTACATGTATCTTTACATTAACTGGCTTTCTATTAATGAAAGATTGCCGAAAACCAGGACACTCGGCCCAGCAAATTTGATACTCAAAGTTTACTCAAAGATGCCTTATTAATTTCAATACATTTAAAGTATGCTATGCCTCCTCTGGATGGATAGAAAATTGTTATATTACAAGACAAATTCAGATTCTCAGAGGTTACTCAACATGTTTTATTATGACAGGTTTCAACAATAATGAATGAAATACAGTAATGATAGAAATAATGTCCCTTCTGTATTATGAAAATAAATATAATATTAAATAACTCAAAGAAATACCTCCAAATTGAACAAAAAAGCTCTCACAAACTTACAAAAACGAACTAACAAAATATATTTCTATCTTTAGTTTTCTTCCTCTTCATCCTGTTTTTCTTCCTCATCCTCCTTGTTTGTCCATCTATATTTCGCTGAAGACCTGATCTTTCCCAGCAGTTTTCTGAAAACCAGGACATTTCCATCACTTTATAAAAATCGGCCAGGACAGGACGTGAAACGGGACGTTGGTCACCCTATGACAGCCGCCTGCGTTCTCCCAGTGGCTTAATTACTTATTTATTTACAGAAAAATAAAATATCTATGCTTTCATGACAGAAAACATTATTTTTCTCTTACATTTCATAATAAAATCAAGCAGGACCGACTCGTTTTTCATCAGGTTGTTCTTGTGAATTTGAATGTGTGCAAAGGATTGTGGGTGATTTAAGGCAGTGAAGGATAAATCAGGGCTTCCTTCGAAACAGGCCGAATGAATGAGACGAAGCAAGGCTTTCCTCGCTGTCCGTCACTCTGAAGACCGAACCAGTTTCATCTTCACCTGCTTCTGTAACCCCTACACCCGGGTCCCACTCCTCGAACCCGGGTCTCCGGCATGAGAGTCAGGTGCTCTAACAAGGAGGCTAAACACTGCAGCCTCCGGCGTCTTGAGATCAGAGGAGTGAGGTTTACTTGCACAGCAACTACTAGCTGGCCTCCGTTACACTTCAGTTGGGAATTTGTTCGCAGCAAAACTCTTGTAAACCGGTTGGCGAAAATAGACGTGCTTCACGTTTAACATCAAGTTATAATACACACCCAGATTATAACACCCGCTGGATTATCACTTTAGACTGAGCCTGATTTGTGAAAGGGTTTCTCAGTGCAGTTAGGGTGAGTTAGCGGCACTGTACCGACCACCATCACTGCGAGAGTCTGTCATTATAGCGTGTGTTGCTGAGCGTAGATGGAGTAACAGCACATTATTGATCATTACTCACACAGGAATATGTTCTCTTTGGGGGCTTAAGCCCTGATGTTTTATCAAAAGCCCCTGGTCTTTTTGAATACAGAACATGTTTCACTTCACAAAAAAACATGTGGTATAACATGTATCTTGTTATCCAAATGCTTAAAGCTGCAGGCTGTAGTAGATGGCCGTTTATCGTGCACAAACACACACACACTCCACTAAGTGCAGTGTGTAGAGTCATCTGGTCGACAGTACCGGGCTCTACCGGCAGGTGGCGCTGTCTGCGCTTGCCAAGAATAGCCTATATTATCCAGCCACTGTGACTGTCATTCATTTTTACAAGACGCCCCTAAATATTCAAGTCTCCGCCTCCCCCACGCCCCTAAATATTCAAGTCTCCGCCTCCCCACGCCCCTAAATATTCAAGTCTCCGCCTCCCCCACGCCCCTAAATATTCAAGTCTCCGCCTCCTCCACCTCCCTAAATATTCAAGTCTCCGCCTCCCCCACCTCCCTAAATATTCAAGTCTCCGCCTCCCCCACGCCCCTAAATATTCAAGTCTCCGCCTCCCCATTTCCATAAATATTAAAGTCTCCGCCTCCCACGTCCCTAAATATTCAAGTCTCCGCCTCCCCCAAGCCCCTAAATATTCAAGTCTCCGCCTCCCCCACGCCCCTAAATATTCAAAGTCTCCGCCTCCCCATTTCCATAAATATTAAAGTCTCCTCCTCCCCACGTCCCTAAATATTCAATTCTCCGCCTCCCCCACGCCCCTAAATATTAAAGTCTCCGCCTCCCCACGCCCCTAAATATTAAAGTCTCCGCCTCCCCCACGCCCCTAAATATTAAAGTCTCCGCCTCCCCCACGCCTCATCTTACGCCACGGACAGACGGAAGACGGCAAAGAAGAGAAACTTCGAAATGGAGCCGAAATGACCTATCACAATGCATTATTTTACAGCACGTCTTTTGAATTAGCATTCAATTTCGAATCACTTCACATGTATTGGGTTGTACAATAGTGATGATGTGATGTGGAGTACCATTCATGAGCAAAATAAATGGCTCAGCATACCAATAATATCACGACAGAGCAATTCTGAGATAATCCATATATGGCTGGACAATCCGATAATGATAATCACGATATCTATAACTATGAAAACATCATGCCTGTGAAAAGGTTAAGCACGGGTTCTCTCTTTATTCAAGTTCAAACTGTCAGAAAACAGCACAAAACGTCTTTCAGTGTGTAAATTAAATTGAACATTTTAAGTGAATTAAACATTTTATGCTTATAGTTTTTAAAAGCTTAAACTTTTCTTTGTGTGTAAATGCTTATCGACTTGCTTTACGTAAACCTGCTACATTTCAAAATGTACCAACCTCTAATGTTTAAACCTGGGACACCTCGATGTTTCCTTAAGGAACCCTGGGAATAATGTTGTCGACTTGGGTATTTTAACATTTTAAACATGCGACAACACCAGCATTTCGTCTAGCATTTTGAGCGGATTCTTAAACACGTCTGATTGGCCAGTGGGTTCATGTGCTCAACAGATATGTCTCTGATTGGCTACAGAGATCAACGCTTCATAAATATGTTGTAAATAGACATCTTTGACACTCTTCATCGAGCGCTTACAGAGATACACACAGGAGTGTTAGTTAACTTACGTCCACCTTTCCCTTATTCATGTGTTGAGCGCCACCTCCAGGAGACACTGAGGAGGGAAATCTGTCTACAGCCTTATTTTAATAATGAAATATCGATATTTGGTGGCAGGAAAGCGATTATCGTAGTGCATGGAGAAGGACGGAGATATTTCGCCTGATCCATATTTGGTCCCACCCCTTCTGGTAGCATTAGCGTGTGGTTGGATATTCAGAGAGGCGGAGCTAGACTCCACACTCCACCCATGGCTCTCTGACTGGTGGGATTATGTGAAGAAGCCCCGCCCACTAATAATAAGGGGAAGGAAGGGAAGCACATTGAACACAGCTCATCTCGTGAAGTTCAATCTTGGAGGATAATCGCTCCTTCTACAGTTTCTTCTCTCTCGGGCAGTCCAGTGAGCCTGTGTTTGTTCATCATCTAGTATTCACACACACAGTCTGAGCCTCCGTTGAGAAGCCTTGAGTCCGTCAGCACACGCACGCCCACAGAAGCGGCAGCAGGGCCGCGAGGAGCGCGGGCGCGGGCAGTGCGCGGGCACAGGACAGCGCTCTCCTCCGGTGGCGCGGGCCGTTGCAGAGCGGGGTGTTGCAGCACGAGATGCAGACCGAGTTCAGCTTCCCCGTGCAGAACTGCTGATACCCCGAGGACGCGATCAGACACGCTCCGGACGAGGCGCACGACTTCCTGTAGTGGACCCCTACACACACACACACACAGAGAGAGAGAGAGAGAGAGCCACACACACACACACACACACATGGCGACTGTTACTGTCAGTCATTACAGATATCACACATTAACACAACTTCCCTCATTTATTAATATATCAAATAAAAGAAACAATTTACATAAAGAAATTATGTATGTCTGTTTTAAGATTTTCTGCATTCAAATTCTCTCAAACTGTATTATAAATGATAAGATGATATTCGCGGTTCTTTAATTGATGGTGTCTGATATTTAAATCATGTCGAATCACAGTATTTTTACTTTCATGCACAAAATCATTTAGACGCATTACAGTAATGAGAACCGAACAGCTTAAGTGTGTGTGTGTGTGTGTGTGAGAGAGAGAGAGAGAGTATGTGTTTGTGTGATAAAAACTAGACTTTATTTTCCGAATGCATTTTCAATATTTCTGTTAACTCCATCAATCTAATTGTCAACGTTCAATCTCTCTCACACACAATAATTAAATATTTCCTTTGAATCATTTTCAAATTCTAAAGACTAAATTGTTTTAGTTCGAGGGTATCAGCAGCAGGTTTTTAAAGTACTTTCCTCTAGAATTTTTTTGTCAAATTTTTATTGACAAGGAAATGCAAAAATCAAATATTAAAACATATTAATTTAGACATGAATCAACAAGTATTACATTTACAAGTAAAGAAACTGGACTGAAATGAAATGAATGAGTTCTTTTTATCAAAAGACAAAAACTAAATCACGAAGTAAAGTGTGTAAAATGAGCAGCATGACAGTAAGCCGAGGGAGAATCTGATGATAAACAGCTGGTTATTCTGTGCAGTGAACAAAATAAAGCAGGAAAATCAATAGGGAAAGTGATGAAGTGAATATAGAAGAAGTGGTTGTTCAGGAACAGGAAGTGATGCGTGCTCTCACCGTCCTCCATGACGAGCACTTCCTTCTGGCACATGTCCTGCACGTTGACGGTGCAGTTAACGATGAAGTCTGGAGCGGAGCAGTCGTCCTGCCGCTCGTCCTCACACTGATAACACTGGATCTGCAGCGCCACACTCAGGCCTGGGGGGTGACATCATCAACAACCACATTAGTGACATCATCATCAACATCATCAGTGACATCATTTGAAGAAATATACAGCTGGGTATCATCAGCATAGTACACAGTACACAGTACAGAGTGAAGAGCAGCGGTCCTAGTACTGAGCCTTGTGGGACACCATACTGAACTCGTGATCGATAAGACTGATTTAAACCATCCTAGTGTAGTTCCACTAATACTAAAATCATTTTCTTGTCTATTTAGAATAATGTTGTGGTCAATTGTGTCAAATGCAGCACTAAGATCGAGTAACACTAATAGAGAGACACAACCATGATCGGACGATGAGAGCAGATCATGTGTGACTCTAATGAGAGCTGTCTCGGTACTATGATGCGCTCTAAATCCTGACTGAAAGTCCTCGCAGATATAATTTCTTTCCAGAAAGGAGCACAGTTGTGAGGATACTGCTTTTTCCAGTATCTTTGAGAGAAAAGGCAGGTTCGAGATCGGCCTGTAATTAACTAATTCTGTGGTATCAAGTTGCATTTTTTAATAAGTGGTTTTATCAGCCAGCTTAAAGGTTTTTGGTACGTATCCTAGCGACAAAGACGAATTACTGATATTGAGAAGAGGATCTATGACCTCTTTCAGTAGTTTAGTCGGTATAGGGTCTAGCATACAAGTTGTTGATTTAGATGAATTAACGAGTTTAGAAAATTCTTCCTCTCCTATATCAGCAAATGAACCAAATCTTTCCTCGGGAGACGGCAACACACCCCTGATGCGGTACTGTAGTAGACGGCTGCATAGGTATAATATTGTCCCTATTATTATCAATCTTATCAGTGAAGAAGTTCATAAAGTCATTACTGCTGTGTTGCTTGGACACTTCTGGGCTTGAAGCTTTCTTTTTCCTTAGTTTAGCCACCGTTTCAAATACATACCTGGATTATGTTTATTTTCTTCTAATAGGGTTGAGAAATAAGCAGATCTAGCCGTTTTTAAGGCCTCGTCGAGCTCTCCTTCCATGAAGGTTTCCCCCACTGGTGACAAAATCATCATCAACATCCGTACTGACATCTTTAATGGTGACATCACCACCATCACTCAGTTTAGGTCGATACCCTTATTATTCCCACAGGCTCAACAAACAATATCAGAAACAGCCACACACACACACACACACACACACACACACACACACACACACACACACACACACACACACACACACACACACACAACTCTATTAAAGCTCTAGCTTAGAAACAGCAGTGGCGGCTGAATAAAGTTCTTCTCATCCCGAGCCTTTCTTTCCTCCTGAAGGGACGTTTACAGAATCTGTCCCAATAACAGACGCTTTCCTCTTCAAGATCAGACAGCTCGTGCTTCTCAACAACAATATTAGCCGCATCTTTACAATCCGTCAGGATCTGGATTAAAGTGAGCACAGATCCCATAAGGGATTAATACACAACCATCAGAATGTCCTTTTCCACATCAGAACTGCTCAAACACCGTCTGAAGGATTATCAGATGTAACCTGGGAGTCGATCTCTGTAATCCCTGGTGTTCTCATCATCTTCATCATCTTCATCATCAGCTTTACCTGTGTCAGACCTCTATCAACTCTATTCCTTTTACTGGATATATTTCATCCATATTTTCGAGGGTTGGTTTGTTTATTCGTGAGAGTTAATTACATTCCCACAAACACAGTCATAACTGATTTCATAATCAGATTTCTAAATGTATTGTAATTAGATTATATTATGCTACAGATACATTGTTGTTTTTAATTCTCACAACTATTTGCATTCAGAAAGTCCTCCCGGTTTGAGAAATGACTCCATTTTATTTAATTATTCCCCTTTCATCGACTTACCGTGCAGTAAAGGTCCACAGCAATCTAAAAGTATCAAATCATAATCAGATTATATTTCCTGAAATGTGTAATGGATTACGTTAACAACTACAGTTTTCAGCAAGTCATGCCGCAGATACATGAACGCCTGAAATAAGCTCTTAATACGGTTTAAATGTCAGATATTTACCTAACCCTAACAAATATATTCATATGAGAATGTACAATAATTCAGACATTATTGTGGATCAAAACAACAATCTCACTCCGACTTCTCCAACGGGGAGTAAAAATATAATTAGCCTATATATTCTTGAAACGCTTTGCAAGTTTCCTTTGCTAATATTAGTGAGCTACATGTGTAAACATGAACAAACAATAAACAATAATATTTTAATTATTAATCTTATTATAGAATTTATTAATCTTTATGCTCATCTATGTAGCTATGCATTTTTAAACCAGTGTATTTCTTACATTAGATAATCAACAAGAACAAACAAAAAACAATATGTATTTTCATTAACTAACATTAACAGTCAGAGATCAATAAATGTAAAATATTTTTCTTGTAGTTGTAATAAACACTTTGCTCATGCTACTAGTCATCATGTTTAACTGCCTATATATAATAAGAGTCTCCTCTGACCAAATACAAACAAAGATCATAATTGTTTTCTGTACAATATTTCTAATTTGAGGGTGAAATATGAGTTTTTCTCCTCTACTTCACATAAATAGTTTTAATGGAAATTATCATTCATAAATATCCTAATTTCCATCTGCCACAATTCCAGCGACTAGGCTATATGCATATAAAGTAACAACAATTAAACAACAAAAACACCTCACCATTTGAGAAATTAAAGCATGAATTATGTATGCTTGTATATTACTATTGCTTTGGCAATATTGTGCTATTTTACACAGTCATGCCAATAAAGCTCAATTGAATTGAATTGAATTAAACATCATTAATAAGTGTCACCGTGTGTGTATAGAATCAGTCACACACATAACACACACACACAAGCTAAAACACTAATTTAACTGCAATTAAAATCAGGCTTTATCTGTCGTTTTATTTCAGAATCTTAAATTGACATACGATTAAAGCCCATTAAAATCACAGGGCATTAATTATAGCTCAATCATTTAATGCTTCTTCAGTAAACTCACTGCTGCTGGTTAATCGTGTGTGTGTGTGAGAGAGAGAGAACACACTCACCCGCCGACAGCACGATCGCCAGTAGAGTCACACACAGCCGCATCCCCGGCACCGCGAGCGAGCGAGCGTCAGACTGACCGAACCCGAGTCTGCGCGTCTACTCACAGCAGCACGCGACGCCCGCCCGCGCCACTGAACTCACCGTGACTCGCGTCTGAATGAAGAGAGAGAGAGAGAGAGAGAGAGAGAGAAGAGAGAGAGAGAGAGAGAGAGAGAGAGAGAGAGAGAGAGAGAGAGAGAGAGAGAGAGACCTGGTTAAGGACATGCTGATCTCACACTGCACACTTGATTATTATAATTAACCTGCCCGTAATTACACACATAAACAACACATGAACATCAACCTGACGCTGAACAAGCTCAAACTCCAGTGACCTGAACTCATGAGGATGAGGAGGATGACGAAGATGCATCAGCCAGGGTTATTAAGGGGAATAACTGGGGAAATAACACTGGAATTAAATGGCCCCTAATGTTTAAAACATCATTAGTGTGAAATACTAAATCAACTATTCTATTTAAAGTTGTGTTTTGACAATTTAGCTGAATAATTGATTAACCAATGACAGGCAAAGGAGAATCCAATGCTGCACTTTATTGTGCATTACATATTATTCTGAGGGAGAGAGAGAGAGAGAGAGGGGGGGGAGATAGGGGAGAGAGAGAGGAGAGGAGAGGAGAGGGGGGGGAGATAGGGGAGAGAGAGAGAAGAGGAGGGGGATAGGAGAGAGAGAGAGAGAGAGAGAGGAGAGGAGAGGGGGGGGAGAGGAGAGAGAGAGAACTCAGTCAGACTCCCTCGCCCCAGTAAACACATCATCAGAGAAAATAAGATGATTTGAGATTATGATGTGCACCGATAAATCATTTGTAATAAACACACAAACACTGTAATATTCCATTAAAAAAATAGAGAATTGTCCATTTTGATTTCAGGGTGACTCTGAGCATTCTGGCGTGTTTTCATTCTGAGCATTTACAGTTTATCATTTGTTTTCTAGGAATCCTGACCTTGCTAACAATAATAAAACATACACACACTCTCACACACACACACACACACACACACACAACACCTGTCGTGTGTGAACGTGTCTTACAGAAAATGTCTGCAAATGAGTGCTGGAGTGTGTGTGTGTGTGTGTGTGTGTGTGTGTGTGTGTGTGTGTGTGTGTGTGTGTGTGTGTGTGTGTGTGTGTGTGTGTGTGTGTGTGTGCGTGTGTGTGTGTGTGTGTGACATTGATGAATGAGGGTGTGTATGTACTGTGAGGATTGTGACAGCAGAGGTAGGAGTTTACTTCCCTCTCCTCAATGAAGGGTTAATACACACACACACACACACACACACACACACACACACACACACACACACACATGTTAGATGTTGCGGTTTGATAAGTGTGTTAAGCTTTACTGTACTTTAAGAGCTCATGAATAATAAAACGCGTTCAATAGAAACTGATGCTGGGTTATGAACACCATCCGATTGTGTGTTCTTATACTGTGTGTGTTTTATTCACACACACACACACACACACACACACACACACACACACACACACACACACACACACACACACACACACACACACACACACACACGTCTCTGCTAAAAAACAGCTTTTCACTGACTGGCCATTTTTAAACCATTTGGCTTTTCCAACACTTTACACTTATTCTGGTGTTCACACTGGAATAATGGGACGAGAGATGCGTGTTACGGGCCGAACACACACCCGGAGCGGGCCAGAACACACCCCAGTTCTGCTCATCTAAATATCACATTACAAACATGTAAAACACAAGGAATGAATGAAAACGAAATACACAGAGAGATGTTGGGCTACACCATGAGGAGGAGATCCGCTGTTGGGCTAAAACAATTTGAGAGAGGAACTGTTTAATTTGGGAATGGACCTGAGATGAAACAAGCTTCCTTTAATAACGGCATTTATCTGATTATCAAACAATAAAGACATAATCAATTATCAACTTTATCATGCATGGTTGAAGACAGAATAGCTAACCGTTTTCAAGGGCAGCGATACACAGTGAAGAACCAAAGGCAATGGCCGCCGTTTTATCCTCATTAAGCTTGAAAAAATGCTTAAAGAAGATAAAGTTGTCATCAGCATAACAATGATAATCTACACTGTACTTCTGAAAGCATGTAGAGAGAGAAAAGCAGAGGACCCAGAGCAGAGCCTTGTGGGACGCCTCAAGATGAGGCCAATACAGTTCTGTCCTTACGAAATTAGGAAAACACACTTAATGCAACACCACCTGGATACCAACACCCCTTTCCAGAACGCAGAGATGCATCGTGATCTATCGAGCCGCACGACCGAACCCTACGAGGACCACGGCTCAGAGGGTGAAGCGTCACTCAAACACCTGAAGATCGCTGATCCTCTGAGCTGAGGTGACACACTCGTCCATATGACTCTGAGAAACACACACACATTGAGCTTAAGTGGATCGATTACCGACTAGAACCACGATCGCTTCACGAGGCTGAAGCAGAAGCCGATCGACATCAGACGACACGAATGTTCACCAGGCGAACCCTTCGAGTTCAGACGGCCCCATCAGCTGTTTATTCAACGCATTAATACAGACAATTATACATTTGTCATATTGGCTGATAGGGATCACTTTATAAAGAGAGAAATCTAAGTTGTCATCATTTCCTCAAACCTGCATGGCTTTCTTTCTTCTGTGAAACACAAACGTGAGCATTTGCAGGAAGACTCGTGTGTTCTGTTCACAACAAACTGGAAGCAAACTCTTCAAATCTTAAAAGAAAACGAAACAAAAAAAGATCAAAAGCATTAAAAACGTGCACTACACCTCTTCTTGGACTGACTGAAATGTGTTTATTCACTGATGACGTCTCCCTCCACTGTTAACCACTGATGTGGTGAGTTGAAGACTGGATTTGTTTGATTCAAGAAGAAATGTTTTTGTGAACAGGAGAATTCTGGAAGAAGAATTCATTTACAACCAGACTCGGACGATCACTGAATGACGAGTTAAACGGTTCTGTTTCTCAAACTAAACTATCATATGACTTCGGTCATTGAGCACTTTTATAATATTTCAAGGATAGTACTTCTGTGGTGTTTTATTAAAAAAATAATAATAAAAGAGCAGTAAATTTCCTTTATGTTGTGAAGAAAGAAAGCCATAGAGGTTTGGGGTTTGGATCGACATGAATCAGAATCAGAATGCACTTTATTTGCCAAAGCTATTTATACTATTTAAAGGCTATTTATGCGTGCGCACACACACACACACACACACACACACACACACACACACAAAGGAGTTTGGTATGGCTTCCAGGAGCTCTATGTACTTACACACATGTATAATACAATAGAATAGAGAGATAATGAAATACGTCTAATTAAAGAAAAAACAATGTAATATATCTAGATATATGATGAATATACATAAGATGGTGAGTAGAAGGCCTATGTACAGATGTACATATTAAGAACTGTATATACAGTACAGTACTTCAGTTCCTTTACTGTATAAATATAAATGTGTATTTACATGGGAGTTATTATTGCCAACTGCCTGACTGGCACCAAAAGGTTATTACATTTAGATGGAAGTAGAAGACTTAGGTACAGATGTACATATTCAGTACTGTATATACAACTCTATAAATATAAATATTTATCCAGTTGAATACAAGATGAAGAAATGATGGATTTACTCTTTTAGCACCACCTTCTCATCCCACAATTTGTTGAGGTAATTTACACTTCACACTACATAAAAATAAAGCATTTAGCTACAAAAAACACGACTGCGGCCGGATAAACCTCAAGTGTGTGTGTGTGTGTCTGAAATTCCTCCGCTGTCTTGCTGTGTGTGTGTGTGTGTGTCTTGGTGATTTCACGCTGCTTGCATTTAATCAGTAAGTCGTCCACTGTTAAATACTGGGAAGAAAATATCACATGACATGGCAGGGCAAACCGATCGAAAGCAATTAGACAGAGGAGCAATCTGAATTATAGCAGCACAGAGATACTGGACCCTCGGGCCAACACACACACACACACACACACACACACCTCACATGGCCGTAATCACAAGACAATTAAGTTTAAAACGGGAGTGTATCAGGTAATTATTTTATAAAAGAAGTAGACGAGTACAATCAGGAGAGAGGAAGGACGGGCTGGACTAAAGCCTCGCCGATGCTTCAGAAAATCACCAGTGACGCCCTTCATTTACATAATCGCTACCGTCACGCGTCACAGTCTTCAGTTCCTTTGTGTAAAGTTTTAAAATCCAATGAAGATGAAAACGCTCAGGTTTCAAAATCAATGTGGATATGTATGAAATAAAACAAAACTCAGGTAAATCCACAGGCAGACAGCAACAAACCCACAGGTATAATAAAACACTACCGGACAGAGAATGAGAACTAGACGAAACTAATGAACTAACTTCATGATAACTGCCTTTTTGGTAAATGAATGTTCCATGGAAACTGATTAGTGGCTGTAACGGAGAACAAAGGAACACAGGAAACAGATAACTAAACAGAGTGGAAACTAGATTAGTGCGGCCTTGCCCCGTAACGTGACTGAGGAGGGGGTTCGGGAGGTGGACGAGGGGCTGGTGAAGGGAGACAGGAACAGATGCCTGCAGGAAAAGCCAAGGTGGTGATGGCCAGGCGTGGACCCAGAGATCAGCCAGGAACATCAGTCACAGTCGCCAAAGGGAGGTGCTATGGTCGAGACTTAACTGACGACACCTGGACAACGACTGATTGAGATGAAGCCATTGGAGGAGGAGTCCCGGGGCACAGAGCCCGATGGTGCCGGAAGAACGAGGAGCCAGGTGGAGCCGCAGGAAGGAGGAGCCCGGTGGAGCCGGAGGAACAAGGAGCCCGGTCGACCCGGAGGAACGAGAGAGCCCGGTGGAGCCGGAGGAACGAGGAGCCCGGTGAGCCGGAGGAACGAGGAGCCCAGTGGAGCCGCAGGAACGAGGAGCCCGGTCGACCCGGAGGAACGAGAGAGCCCGGTGGAGCCGGAGGAACGAGGAGCCCGGTCGACCCGGAGGAACGAGAGAGCCCGGTGGAGCCGGAGGAACGAGGAGCCCGGTCGACCCGGAGGACGAGAGAGCCCGGTGGAGCCGGAGGAACGAGGAGCCCGGTCGACCCGGAGGAACGAGAGAGCCCGGTGGAGCCGGAGGAACGAGGAGCCC